CTTCTCTCCCTCAAAATATCCCCATTTATGCTAACACTTGAGAAAAATTTTTTGCTCATCACAATATGCCTTTTCGAATCGAACAATTTTCCCCCGTGGTATTTTCTCGTATCATCGAGAATGAAGATTAAGGAAACATTATATTATATATACAGGGTGTCCCATTTTAATGTCCCACCTCAAATAATTTTTTTATTTTTTAAATATTAAGATACAAAAATTGGCTCTTTGGAATAAAAATTTAATAAATAATAAATAATAAAGGGCTAGTAAAATGGCTAATAAAAGCCAAGCTGGTTGTTCTTGCTTATATTATTTAATGTGCAAAATAAAAATTATTAAGTATAAACATACGTCATAAGCACATAATTTTTGGTATGGTGGAAAATTATCAAAAATTCCATTCTAAATTTCATGAAAAAAAATTTGCATTAAAACAATAAATATATTGCAAAATAACTTTTAACTTCATTTTCTCAACAACAATTAATCAGACTCTAATAGACGAAACTATTTTATAAAAAAGACAATACCAATGACAATTCTGATTTATCTAAAATAAGAATCTTCTTCACTATTACATCTCTCTTCTTCACTTACATCAATTCTATATCTAATAGATTTATTTCAATATCAAGGCTAAATCGTCAGATTGTTTTTACAATTCCTCACACTCTTAATAAATTTATCACAACGGATAAAGATATATTAAACAACATGTGACGTCATTTATAAAATCAATTGTTTAGACTGTGAGGCATCGTATGTAAGACAGCTAAAAATCAGAATTAAAGAACATAAATCAGACATTAATAAAAAAATGTAGATCTCCATCAGTTATTTCTAATCATTGACTGTTTGAAACCCACGATTTTGATTGGGCTCATGAGCAAATTTTGGATAATAAGCCATTTTTTATTAAGAGAAACATCTCTGAAATAATCCACATAAAAAGACAACACAAAGGCTTAAATAAAACAATATAGAATTTCAATTCATGATTCCTATCTCCTCATTCTACATCCCCTCCAAGACTATTAACTCCCACTCTAAGTTTTACTATCCATGATTATTAGTTTCTGAGTATTGGAATATCATTTGAATTCAGTAACACAAGGAGAACAGAAGTTGTATAATATTAGGTGTACAACTTTACTTCCGCCGTTTTTTTTTAAATTCGAGGCTTTATTGTAAAAAACTGGTTATACATTTGATTCAAAGTATTGTCTATCGCTGGCCACTACTTTCTCCCATCTTTCGGGTAGTGTACGAATCCCGCGTCGAAAAAACTGGTCATCTTTTGAGGCTATCCACGAATCGATCCAATTTTTTACTTCTTCATAAGACCGGAAGTGCTGGTCAGCCAGGCCATTGATCGAAACAAGTGATATAATCAGAGGGAGCAACGTCTGGAGAATACGGCG